TTGCAGGACTGGCCTAGGGAAATTTTTAGAGGGGGTTTTAATTATATTTTAATTAGATCATAGTTAAATATTTCCTTTTAATTAATTTTAATCCTGTAATTGTTATCTGTGTATTTTTTAATCGATTGTTAGCCGCCCTGAGTCCGCAAGGAGAAGGGCGGGATATAAATTTAATAAAATAAAATAAATAAATAAATAAATTTTTAAATACTACTTTAAATACTATATTTGTGTTAATATTTATGCAATCAGGTAATTACTTTTCAAATTTCCATTGTATTTATAATGAATTAATAAAAAACAAAGTGTCTCTAATATTAAAATCTAAATTATGTCATTTTGATGGAAGTCAACTTACTCGAATGTGGCAATTACATTTAGATAGAATAAAATACTAAAAGTAAATTTGTTTATATACCTACTAAGATCATTTACAGCAAAATAAACTCTGTGATTGAGATAAACCCCACTTGAATTGCATTATTTAAAACAATATGTTGAGTTAAATTCTCATTTTATAATGAAGGTGCTGGAATCCTTTGCTGTTAAGACTTATTAATGGATCCAGAAATGAAGTCTTTTACTCCTTAACTTGCATTCTAGTGTTTTCAATTCATTTATTCACTTCATGTACAAAAGCTGTAAAATGAGTGCAATGCTTTTGCTTTGACTGTATCTTTAAAAACCTGAAAAGTCATCAATGACAGGGGCCATTAAAAAAAATTCAGTACACAAAACAGAGAGTACACAAAACTACGGACAGATGTAGTTGCTTCTACGTATACCACATACAATCAATTTTTCAATCTCTATTATGTTTTCACAATTTATTATGAAAGTTAAAGCACCTATGTGTGGTGGTTTTATTTTTACTATACAGCTTACATTATTTTATTTAACACTACACTGTAACTTGCTCATTGAACCGAATCATGCAATTGTTGCAGATCAGCACAAGTGTTTCATAAGGCATAATTGAACATGTTAAAAACTTTCAAAACTTGAGTTGCTTGATGAAGGAGTTTCTGGGTGTCTCAATTCTTGAAGTCCATAGTTAAGTCAGGAAGATAATTTACTTGGAAGTGTAATTTATTTGGCTTAGGACGATGCCTCAAGAAATAATAAAAAAAGAATTGAATTCCTTTTAGGTTCAGTCCTTTGCACTAAACTGAGGACATATTCCGGTACATTCAGAATTCCAAAAAGGTAAGGATACCAAGAACAGGCAACAATAAACCAAGACAGCTAGGGAATATTCCAGCAGCAGCTCCTGGAAAATCAAACAAGTTTGCATTTTATATAAAAGACTGAAGATTAAGCAAGACTACAAGTAAAACAGAGATGTTCTAAAGATTCTTTCCCAAATTGTCTTCTCTGAAAGGTGATATTCAGATATTCTCTAATTATTTGCTAAAACTTGTCATATTGTAAATATTTTATATTCATGTTTCTCGTCATTTTGCCTCCGTGTGACTTCAAATTAGATTTTACTCCTGACAAGTACACAGACAAGCTCCTGCAGTTTGTTTTTCTTGACAACATTTTTGGGAAGTGGTTTGCCTTTTCCTTCTTTCTAGGGCTGAGAAGAGTGACTGTACCAGGATTAATATCAATATCAATAATGAACTATCAATATCAAATTGTCAGCTTTGGATTTTCTTTTCCTGAATATCAGGAGCAGCAGAACATTGTCAAGATTTAAATCTAACCATTATTACACCATTAATACTCTGAAAGATCCTCTGTAGAATGTGGACCCCTATCAAAACTGGGGGCTTATCATCCAACATTACATCATCACTTATTTTATAATCTATTCATATGATTTTCTCAGTAAAGTAAAGTAAAGTAATTTATCCCATGTAGTATGAAATAATGCCTTTGTTATTGCCCCTAAAGTGATAATCCATCTCCAATACCTTCTATACTGCTGCCCAATATAGGTGACTACTTCTTTTAGCTAGGATGACTTTCACACTTTGTGGGATTACTGGTGGCTACACCCTCAGCATTCTTTGTTCGTCCCTTCTAGGAACAGCCCCAAAATAAGGAAGAATAGCAAGATTTGGGGAAGGGGACTGTTGTGAGAAATGGATAATTTGCTTCTCTCAACCACAAATGTATATTTATGATATGTTTACTATTTGAACAACTAGAAAGCAAATAAAATCATTTTTGTCTCAATGATTTGAAAATAAATGACTACTGTGTATATTTATTTATTTATTTTTATATTTCATACTTCTTAACTAACTATCTCCATCGGATATAAAAGACACAAGGAAACACATTTAAAACACCTTAAACTTAGCTAACATTAAAATATAGAAAAATATAGAAAAAATAACATCTTTCATACTCAGTTTCATTTTTTCATAGACATACCTGGAATTTTTACAAGAGCTACTTCTCCATCTCCCCCTTCACTGTGGACCCGAACTTCAACAATGTACTGACCTTTAACAGGTGCAGGAACTTCTATATAATGGTTACCAGTCTTAAAGAGTGTACCATTAAATTGACCATCTGGTCTATAGAGCACCTTTTAGAGAATAATAAAAAATATCATAGCAAGGTAAGTTCACAACAAATTAATAGTCCAGGTCATTATAAAAAAATCAAGGCAAAATATTTATAAATGCTGTCTTGAATCAATATGATTATCCATTTTATATACATTTTTGTAAATAAAAGTGAAAAGCTCCCACTCCCTTTTTAAGACTTAGAGAGAGAACATTAGCTAATTATATTTAAGTAACCTGTATATTTACATTTTCTGTTGTTTCTATGGTGTAAGCAGGAAATCCAATCATTAATTTCCTTTATATGATCACAGGGAATAGGAAACAGTAGTGGTATTATAGGCATACAGCATTAGCCAATTACTGTTATGAGAAGTAAACAGCAACACTTCCACACTTCATATGAAGAACTATATAAGATGGAAGCAACCATGTCCTGTCTCCTTTATGGTTCATTCTTTTTCTGTGCTCTGTAGACCATTATTTCTAATGTTTCCTTCTTGCTGAAATGAAGAAAGTACCAAATAGATTTCCTCAGTTAGTGATCACTACTTAGACACTGCAAGGGATGTCCAGCCTTGGCAATTTTATGACTTGTGGACTTCAACTCCCAGAATTCCCCAGCCAGCACCCCGGCCTACACTGATCTCCAATCTGCTTTCTTCTTTCCACCACTGAAAAGAAGCAACATGCATGCCATCATACAGTAGATTAATCAGTTCTGAACATAGTAGATACTAATACAAAAGTTGATTGATTGGCACACTTATTTGTGTAAGACAATAAGAACTACACAGGTGTATTTCTCTGCCTTATAGCTGTTTTTATATCTTGTTATGGCTCATATTAGAAGAGAATTTCTAAGAATTAGTTGAATTATCAGTATAATAGATCTTGAGGGAAATTACGTAAGATTACTGTATACACTGGTACCAAATTTAACTTTGCTTTTTATGGTCTAAAATATCCTTTCTTAAATATCACCTTTCTTCCTTTTAAATAGCAATTTACTTTACTAACACACAATTCAAATAGAGCAACAAAACAACCAATATTACTCAGTTAGGCCCAAAAGACTTAAATATCAATCTTACTTTATATCCTTTCACAGTAGATTCATTGGACTGTGACTTAACATGCTCCCATGTGATAATGTACTTTGAACCGGACCTTACAGCATCAATAATTCTTGGTTGCTGCCTTGGAGCTAAAAAAAATAGTACATCTCTTTATTCTAACCAGTACAATTAAATTTTACAAACATTATTTTCTCATTCCTACACATTTGTTTATTTATGTCCACAAGTAAAATTCACCAATGGTATCATCTACTATCTACTTCCCATTCTGATTTATACAATTATTCATAGATACCTCTTGCTTAAAAATTGTCACCAAATGTTATGCAGCTACTGTCCAGCATTTGCAGACCATGTCACAGTGATCTATAGAGAAGCAAAACTTTGCAGCCAAGATGTTACTGTTACAGGATCTAACAACTTGACACCAGAGGTCTGTGTATCTACCAATATGTATAATTTATCAACAATGACTGAGTACATTTACACAAACTGGCAACTCCATATGAAAAAAATTAAGGTAATTAAAACATTACAATATCCACAACCAGATATGGAATATTTGAAGTTCCTAGGACATTTTACATTGAGCTCATCCTTGAGCAAAGAGTTTTAAGACAAATTGTGTCTGATTAAGTCTACAGATATAAGTCTCCTTTATTCTATGTCCATCTGACCTTATCTTTACTATTCATCTCCATCTTCTACTTTAGATGCTTACGTGCTTTTTCTGTAACAAAATCCAAAGGATAATTGTAAGGTCCAATGCCAGCTGCATTGAAAGCTGCTACTTTTGTATAGTATTTTGTATAAGGTTTCAGGTTTTCTAACATTACTGAAAAATTCTGACTGTTCACTTGCACTCTATTTGCAGCTATTTCTTTTTCACCGCTGGACCAGTAACTGATCTGTAAAAATGAAAAAAAAAGGTCAAATGTAAAAGGAAATATAATTACTCCTAATTATTTCAGAACTAACTCAGCAGGAGAAATAGAAAAACTGGTATCTATGGATTCTCAGTCATCCTGGTCATGGTTGTTCCAAAGTTGCTGTTCAAAAGGCAACTGGTTTTTCTTCGTTTTTTTTCTTGAAAATGTTGTGCTTCTCATCCAACAAACTTCTTCATTTCAGAATTGAAGAAGCTTCTTGGATGAGAAGCAAAACATTTTCAAGGGAAAACCAAGAAAGTCCATTTGCCTTTTAAACAGTACCTTTGGGCCAGAGAAACTGGAAACACATTTTTTTTCTGAAATACTCCATTCACTCCCTGTAACTCCACTATTTAGATTGAATCCTTTTGGAGGAATCCTTTTAGAGGAGTCACTATGACCTTGTTAGAAGGGTATATGTACATTTGTGCATGAGCACAATGATTGGGGATTTTCCCAAACCAAGAATCTGGAGCAATTGGGAAAAAGTCACTAAAGGCTTCCTAAAGAAAGATAGAACACTGGGAAGTGATAGTCAAAGGGAAGTGATTTTCATTCCAGATTACTAACTTAACAACTTAACATATGAATCACTTAACATGGCAAGAAAGGTTGTAAAATGGGGTAAAACTCACTTAACAACAGAAATTTTGGGCTCAATTGTGGTCATAACTCAAGCACTACCTGTATACTTTTAAAATATTTTATGGATTTATTAATCTCAGAAGTGATGGGCTTTTGGCAGGTTGATAGGAGAAAAAAGTTTATATATTGTAGATAAACCTTTTGCATTTAGCATGTCTAGATGTCAACTATGGAAGTGTCAAGTAATTTCTTCTGAATAGTGAGAATGGATCAGTTTCAGTTTGTGATATCCAAAGTTGTCAACAAGCTACTTGGAGAGGTATGTTGTACCACTTGTTCTCTGCTTCCTTGGTTAATCTGGCTTTTAATTTCTAGTTGGGAAATTATTAGAGGTGCATTGGTTAATATCATAAATACTTCTCTGTTTAAGGGAGAAAATATTAAAACTCTTTTGAAGAAGCCCATTCTGTAGTTTTCAGAATTGTAGGGAAGTGTCTCCCTCTTTCTCCCTATGATTGAGTAACATGAGTGAGAGAGTAATGGCTTTTCAACTGAGCTCCGCTATATACAAAGCATATATTTATAGTTTAGTCCATACAGACTCCACAGCATGCTAAGGCTTTGAGACTTCCTTTGTTGACGAATATATTTATTTGAGGATCCATATAGTTTGTTTTTCAATCTTCAAAAACTTTGATATTATTGACCATGGCATCCTCCAGAAGCTTCTGGAAGACTTTGGGATAGGAGATACAGCTTATGCAGAAGTTCCCTTCCTATCTTTTAGAAAGCTTTCAGATGGTTACATGAAGACAGCTCAAAATGGGAACTATTTTGTGGCATTCCTCAAGACAACATTCTGTGAAATGCTTTTCAATATTTATCTGAAGCTAGTGGTAGGATTCAAATATGTGAACAACTGGTTCTCTGTGTGGATGCTGCTTCCAGAAGTCCATTCTGGGCCTGGGCAACCAAAAATTAGCTACTGGTGCTACCGAAGTGGTGCGAACTGGCTGAATCCCACCACTATCTGAAGCCACTGGTGAGATTTGGAGGTTAGTATTGTTCAAGCTTTTCTGGTAGCTTCAAGATTGGACTCATTCAACTGCAACCTATAGTAGTGGCCAAAATTGTGGAAACCTTTTGGGAAAAGTATTTTTGAGGTTTGATGGCTAATAACACCACTTTTTTGGGAGTAGTACCATAACATTATATATCAATGGAAAGATAATTTAATCAAGAATATAATGCAACATAGTTTGTTCAATTATCTGTACTGTATTCTATGAAAAGTTATAGCCAAATAACCAGAAAAAGGAAGCACAACTTGCTTAGATTGATATCAGGTAGCTTTCCTTCATCTGATTGTAGCCAATGAGCATGAGTGTTTAGAGAGCTAATCAGGTGTTATCTTGTTTTGGCAATGAGCCAATTAGATCATAGTAGGATTTAGTTATTGATGTCATGTATTGAAGCTGAGAGGAGGACATTTGTCAGTGTGTTATATGATCGCTATCAAGTTGATTGGGTTTTTTTGTGTTTTTTCATTTAGTGAGCTTGTAAAACGTAATAAAATTAAAGTAATGGTGCAAAGAGTTGACTGGTTGCCCAGAAAGCGATGTAAAATAGTATTATTAAGTGAACAAGGCTACAGTTATAAAGAAATTAGAAGAAAAAATGGTGGAAACTTAACCAAAGGTGGCATTTCTACTATACACTTTTCCCAAAAGGTTTCCACAATTTTGGCCACTACTGTAATTCTGTGTTCCTTGCAAAGTAGAGAGGTCTAAACAGGTTTACTAGCTTTTGACAAGATCTTTAAACCAATTTTTTTACAAACATTTAAATGATTATAACTGTTAATTTTAATTATTAATCCAACTTATTTTGCTTTATTTCCATTGCAATTTGAACAATTTTAATATTGCAATTTAAGTTTTAATATTTCCATTTTCAATTTGTTCTTATTGTAGGCCACCAGGATTTTGATAGTTGATACTACATCAGGTAAATACATAAATTGAAGTATAAGAACTAGAATTCTTATAATTAGCACTACATATAAAATAATTAGGAAGTTGAATAAAGAATAATAGTATATCCATTTCAGCCTGAAATCAGTGCTTCCTTCAGTATAGACACTGAACACTCTATACAGGTAGTCGACTAATTGAGTCCAATATTTCTGTTGATAAATGAGATAATTGTTAAATGAATTTTGCCCCACTTTACAACCTTGCTTGCCACAGTTGTTAAGTGAATCACTGCAGTTTTTAAGTTAGTAACACTGTTGTTAAGTGAATCTGGCTTCCCCATTGACATTGCTTGTCAGAAGGGTGCAAAAGGAGATCACATGACCCCAGGATTCTGCAGCCATTATAAATATGAACCAGTTGCCAAGCATCTGAATTTTGATCACATGACCATGGGGATGCTACAATGGTTGTAAGTGTGAAAATCAGCCATAAATCACTTTTTCAGTGCAGTTGTAATTTTCAACGTGTACTAAGTGAACTGTTGTAAATCAAGGACTATCTGTACTATGTGAAAAAGGGAACCATTCCATCAGACAGAAATAAGATAATCAGAGGGAAGTAGGATATTCCTTTTAGACTTTACTCTAAAAAACAGAAACCGTCCATTCTAAATAGCAATCTGTTCTGCCATCCTGGTCATGTTTTATGAATTCCAATTTATTTGCTATCCCTCTCAATGGAGAGAGTCATACAATCATTGTAATTATTTATACTATTTATTAAGTTATTAAGAAGCAGTTTCACAATTTATTACAAATCTAAGATTTAGGAGCAGTTCAGCATGGTTCACATGCCCAATGATTCTCATTTTATCAGGTTTAAGTGAAGGAGTTTCCCTACTGTAATTGCCAATATTACCGAAATCTTGTCTTGGTCATTTTGATTTTAAGATCCATCTCTTTCCTATTTCCCATTACATATATGTAACCTTGATTTAGATATGTTTGGTGTATGTTAAACTATGTGTAGGTTTAAAAGAAAAAACAAAGCAAAGGAAGTTTTAGCAAATGCAATATTAAATAAACATAGGACTTGTTTCTTATCATCAAATAACACTATTTCAAATCACTTCCACGCAAGAGAAGGAAATCCTGGTGTTGCTTTCTTGTAAATCTAAAGAGGTATCTTCCTTCTGCCTTCTGAAATACTTAATTTTACTTTGACAGAATCAGTTCCTTTTGTAGTAGTACAAATAGTCCTTACAATGGTTTGAAATTACAAGTAACTTTTCTTTTAGATAATGTTTATTATCATTTTTTACTGTGGGCACACTGGCACCCATTAAAAATGAAATTCTGCTGCTTGCTCTTAAAAGTGTACACATGCATAACACATATAGACATGCTACATGCATACATGTGTATACCTACACCCTTATATATAAATACATATAAATATTAATCACCGTCCATCTTGAATACATAGTGGAAAGAGGAAGCTTGAGAGTTCACAAGGTTGATACTGTATGGAACAAAACCATGACTGAATCTGGATGTTCTGCTTTGGATACCATGAAGCCTCCTCCCAGAAAGTAATAAGGAAAACAGGTCGTGAAGAGGATGTGTAGTGTCCCAGATAATACTGTGGACCATGCTCAAGCAACACTTATATGCTATGTCCTGAATAGAAGGGACTTATGACTGTTTTTTATGTTTACGATCATTCCAGAATTTCCCATGGCCACATGATCAAAATTCAGTCGCTTGACAACTAACTCATATTTATGATGGTTGCAGTGTCCTGGGGTCATGTGATCATCACCTTTTGTAACTTTTTGACAAGCAAAGTCAATGGGGAAACCAGATTCACTTAACAACTATGTTACTAACTTAGAACAACTAGAATGACTGACTTAACAATTGTGGCAAGAAAGATCATAAAATGGGGCAAAACTCTCTTAACAATTAACAAATGTCTCAGCAACAGAAATTTTGGGCTTAATTCTGTTCATAAGTCAAGAACTACTGGTACTTACCATTATTGCATGTTCTGGTAATTGTTTGACAATTTATTTATATTTATTTCTTGTATTTATAATCTCTTTCAAACTCAGATACACTTCCTGACTATAAAAATAAATATGAGGGACTTCCGGTTTGCCAGGCGGCCACCATGGATGGCTGGGAGACTTTCTCTCCCCGTTCAGTTTCACATCGCTGGGGGGCTCTGAAAAGGGCCAAAAGTCATCCCGAAGAGGTGACCAGCAAGGAGGGGTTATCGCTGGATCGCGGGAGAGCAGCAACTCTCCCATTAGAGATGTCGATCCCTCCAAACCAGCGAATGAAAGGACCGGCCATAGAAATATGGCTCGTCCCTAGGCTGCAGACAGCCGAAGTCACACTCACTATCTGGCAACTTCAAAGCAGCATGGAAAGGACTGGGTGAGATCAGCCTCTCTTACATCCTAATTGCTTTTGTACCTATTCAATCTGCTAAAGTACTTTTTCCTCTGTGGAAAGGGAAGGGGGATTTTAGCCCTCCCTCCAGAAACAGCAGCGATTGAATACATAGGGGAGCTTTTTTTTTTTTTTTTTTGAAAACATTGAAAAAATAACTGGATCCCAATTGGAACTTTATTTCCTAAAGCTTGTGGATTAAAAGATTTTTGATTATCTACTTTTTATTTTCATTCAAAAGTCTGGGTTTTTCCTCTTAAAATAGAAGAAACCCCCCCCGAAAAGATTACAATAACTTTGAGATTTAAAGGAATTCCTTAAACAGTGGGGTGACATCTTGTGGCTAAACCTGAAATTGCAATTTATTATTCTTAAAGAAAAGAGACTTGGCTGACAGTTTAGAAAACAAGATAAGATTCATGTAGTAACCTTGAACACCAGCTGTGAGAATTTTAACTCTGTTTCTTATTTACTGGGGGAAAAACTGTGAAAGTTTTCAATTCAACTTATCACTATGGAAGACCAGGAACAGACCTTTCCTATGGAAGAAATGCGAAAACAAATTTATTGCTATGTTGAAAATAACTTATCAAACTTACCAAACTCTTCTTAAAGCTGGCGATGAAATAAGAGCTTTCGGGGGAAAACCAGAAAGCGTCTTAGATATGCAAACTCAGATTTTGACTATAGCTAAAAACCTATCTATACAGAATACAATAGAAAAAAATTGAACAATTAAATATTATGACAGAAGACCTAACTGCCCAACAAGTACAGACAATAGAAAATTCAGAAAAAAATCTGACAACATGGATAGAGGAAAAAACCTGCTATATAAATCAGAAGGAATTTGAAGATCAAGGAGAGAAACAGATGGAAGAAAAGATAAACAGTTCAGGACAACTACATCAAGAGGAGAAAATAAAGAGACGACCTGGTAGTCCTGCCAGACCCCTCAGCCTTCCAGAAATGGCGACTGGATGGTCATCTCAATATAACATAATATATACAATAATACAAGACATCTTTGAGGACTCTGAAGCAAGAACATGGAAGATGATTTGGCAAAGAAAAAAAGCCAGAATAAGACTGAAGAAGAAGGGAGTGTGGGCATATTTAGGAGATTTAAAATAGAATATACTTAAGTAGACAAGACCCATATTTTGAATACGAGATATTGTTATGATGAGAAGATAAAGAAAAATGTTGGCTAATTAAAACCTAGATGCATAAATATCAACAGTTAAATTGAAATATTGAGTTGTTTATAAAGGTTAGATAAAGGTGATTAAGATATATATATGTTAAGAATGATGTAATGTAATTAACATGTTTTGATGTAGTGATAAGAATAAAAATTATAAGTTTAAATATGAGAAAGTGGACATAAAGAAGAATGCTGAAATGGGAGAAATTTTGGTTATGGAATTTATAATATTTAGAAATTATAATGAAAATAAAAATATTATATTGTATTACTAATCTGTTGATATAGAAGTGAGATAGATAAGATATGTATCCGGAACACTAAATGTTGGGGGGAATTGGGGTCATTTAAAAAATTTGGAAATGATAAATATTAAATGTTTAATTTAAATATCAACGCAAAATTAAAGCTGGGAAAATTCATAAGGTTATTGATGGTCCAAAAGATGGAATGTTAAAATAAATAAGACATATAAAAGTATTGATAAATGTAAGAAAGCTATTAAGTAGCTGATGGATAGAATAAGAAGTATACTAATTTAAACAAGAGACAGTATGTATTAAGGGGGAAAAGAGAGGAAATATTGGCTGTAATAGTTGGAGATTTGTATTGATAATACTTGTATGTAATGGAATTATTGTAACTCAGACACCACGTTGTTTGTCAAAGATATAATTGTAACATCGGAAAATTAATAAAAAGTTTAAAATAAATAAATAAATATGAGTACAACACCATGTTCAGTTCTTTTGTATCTTGTGGTATGATTAGTAAAAGAAAATATATTTTTAAGCTCACCTCATAGCCAGTAACAGCTGGATTGAAAATGTGTTCCCAGGAAACAGATACTTCTGTGGATGACAGAACTTTTATTTTCACATTTCTAGGTCTTTCAGTAGGAGCTGAAAAATTGAATGGAATATTAATATTGTGAATCTGATATTCTGAGTAATATAGAGTAAAATAATCAAGGATTTCCAATTATTTAATTTGGTGCTTTCTTTGGCAGCATGGTCAATATTTCTTCCAGTTTCTAGTTGGTGCCTTTAGTAACTACACCAGATTAAGTCATCTGGGTGACTTTGGACCAGTCACTCTCTCTCAGCCCTAGGAAGAACCAATGGAAAACTGTTTTTGAAATTTTGGCAAGAAAACTGCAGAGGCTAGTTCAGGTAGCCTCCAGAACACACTCTCTCTCTCACCTCCCCCATATTATATGCATTTTACAATAGTAAAATTAATTCAAATGGAATACTTTACATAGTAATGTTTTATGGTTTAATCTACCATTTGCAATACAAATTATGTGCTTAAATAATTGTTGCATAATCCTTTTAGCTATGGCAATATTTTCAGTTTTATCTTTCATTTTGTTTTTACTTAAGCAAGTTGCCTTGAACTCTGAAAAAAGATTTATGAACCATTTAAAATCATCAAATACCAAACCTACTGTATGTAAATAAAAATGTGTGAATATATAAATTCACAAAGAATCCTGATTCACATAGTTTCTCATTAATACCATAAAGAATCAAAGTACTAGTATATTTCAGGGAAAGGATGTATAGTAGATTTTTTTATAAAATAACTACATTAGGCATCAAATTAATAATTATCTTCTTTCTTAGTATCCAAATTATGTAACTGAATGTCCAGTCGTGGTTAGGTTTCTTGCAATTAGCAAATTTCCCCAGATGCCTAAAATGTGCGGTTTCTTTTTTGTTTTTGACAGAAAAAAATGCAAACAGTTTTGGTATCTCAGTTTTGAGAGTATGACTTTACCAGGTCATTCATCACATACATACATACATACATACATACATACATACATACATACATACATACATACATACATACATACATACATACATACATACATAAAACTAGTTTTTGAATTGCTTGTTATTGTGTTTTGATTAATTCAAAATTAACTGAATTAAACAGATGTTGCTCTGTTTAAATTTTTTTAAAAAAATATTAACCTATTGGGCTTGTAAACACAATTCATTGAAGGCAGTCCAATGTCTATACAAATTCATTGGTAAGGCAAAGATCAATGCTCTTTTGAAGATCTTTTTTAGCAAGCTTCAACATAAAAGCTTTAAAAAAAACCCTTTCATATGTTTAATGTTGTAACTGGGCACTCAGTCAAATATGTATGAAGTGGTTACTGTTCAGAGGAAACATATATTGGATGAAACTTTTCAAATAAAACTGAATAATCGTGTATGAAAAGGTATTTAAATTAACATTTTATACTAGTGATTTTATTAAATTTAGAATTTTAGTGTACTATCAGAGATGCAGAAGCTTGGCTTACATTACTAAATGCTCAGTAAAATAACAGGAAATTGATGTTTTTTTAACATAGAAATGTTAATTAACCTGAGATGGCCTAACAATCTGAAACTTTTATAATACATTGCTTTATATGGTATATATTTGGTATATGTTTCCCTGAAAATAAGGCCCGGTCTTTTTTTTTTTTTTTTTTTAGTTCCAAAGATGCATTTCAGGGAAACACGGTATCAGGGTGATCAGCCTGGCCGGGCACTCCACCCTTCGGTATGTGCACAAGAGGCAGTGAGCACGCAGAAACCAATGGTGTCCGGCAGCAGCCACAGCCTGCCAGTCCTTGGCCGCGCACTCTGTGGCTGTGCAGCCCGCACAGTGCAAGTGAATTGATTACCTATCCAAGCAGCAGGCGGAGGCAGATGTGCAGGTGGGAGTCAGGCAATCCAGATGCACTGCATGGCCGCCTGCCTTATGGGAGGACTCACGGGAGGCTCGTGTGGCAGCACCAGCAGTGGCAGAGGCACGGGGGGAGGCAGGCAATCCGGATGCAGTGTGTGGCCGCCTGGCTCGCAGGAGGCTTGCATGGCAGCACCGGCAGCAGGCAGAGGCAGATGCATGGGGTGGAAGCAGGCAATCTGGATGTGCCGCACGGCCACCTGGCTCGTAGGAGGCTCACGCAGCAGCAAGTGGAGGCCAAGACATGGGCAGGCAAGCCCAGAGACGGTGGGACAGAGTGGGCGGCGCATAACCTGCCTCCCCCCATGCCTCGGCCTCCACCTGTTGCCAGTGCTGCCACGTGAGCCTTCCACAAGTCTCCCATGAGTCAGGCGGCTGCACAGTGCTTCCAGATCACCTGCCTCCCCTCGTGCCTTGGCCTCCACCTGCTGCCAGTGCTTCCGCATGTCGGGATCGCCTGCCTCCCCTCCGCACCTCTGCTTGGAGGGCCGGCCTGGTGGTCGCAGCACTCGGACTTACCTGTGCTACATGGACTGTGGCTGTTGCCGGACACCGTCAGCCCACATACACTCACCATCTCCTGTGCTGGCCACCCCCACCCCCAGGGCTTATTTTGGGGTAGGGCTTATATTAGGAGCACGCTAAAAAAAATCAGGCTACAGCTTATTTTCTGGTTGGGTCTTATTTTCGGGGAAATGCCGTACTTAAAATGTGAATTATCATAACATGTGCTTTCCTGAAATTTGCTTTTTCTCATGGCAGATAACCTTGGGCTCATTCTACTTGCAATTCATCCAAGAAAAATGGATTGCTCTGATATCACAGGTCAGAAGTGACTCAGATGATATGTGGGCAGCCAATGTGCTAAAGAGGCTGGTTGGATCAACTTAATTATACTTGGAAACAGATCTTAAGAATTAGACTGTTTACATGAGAATTCTTTTTAGTACATTGCAGCAAGCTTATCAAAACCTACTCTTAACTTTCATCACAGAATTTTTACTCACCATCTTCTGCTGAATAGATAATAGCAGTAAGACTGAAAGGTCCTTCCCCTTTGTTATTAAATGCTTTCACCTTTACTTGATACTTTGATGAAGGAAGCATTGATTCATCCTTATGAACATACCGACCAATATCAGGTTGAGGAACTGTAACACTTTTCCAATCATTTTGATCAAAGGACTTGAAAGCTACCACATATCCAAAATTATTACCAAAGTGATACTCTTTTGGCAAAGGCTATAAGACAAAATATGAGAATTATGCATTCTTTTTATTTTTGTTCTTTGTTTGAATGAGTATAAATAAAATTTAAATCTATATTATCATCTATTTGGAGAAATATTCCCATGAAGATTCTAAGTAAGGAAATACAATTTTTTTTTCACACAAGGCTTGTCAGGATGGAAAGTTTATAGACTGTCTTCTTTCTTACAGATAATCTGAAAACAGCTTAATATCACAGATTAAATACTTTCTAAATATAGAATAACTTTTATAAAATGCCTTCTGCAATATCAGCCTATTTAGTTGCCCTAATTTTTTCTCCCTTCCTTCACCTAGCCATTATCTCATAATATATAGATTTTGAATGGAAATAAATTGAAATGTCTTTATATAACAAAAAGTAGTATCAATGGTTTGTGCCTTTGGAACCTGAAGGCACATATTGAGTATAGTCTTATTCTGGATGATTAAGCCTGAATTATTAAAATGCTATCATTTTACCTAAATAAAGTGTGGTACTAAGTGATTTTGTATGACCCAAAATATAATAGGTTCTTTTTTAAAAATTATACCCCAAAGATAGGACACATTTCTGCTTGCTTTTTCTAAAAGAGTTCCATATGTTAAGACAGATATACACAAGTGGATTATAGTCACTAAAAGGGAATAGAAGGGGAACTCATCAAATTTGCAGATGACACTAAGCTAGCAGGAATAGCCAACTCCCAGGAGATAAACTCAGGGTCCAAAAGATCTTGACAGACTTGAACAATGGGCCCAATCCAACAACATGAAATTTAAAAAGCAAGGTTTTATACTTAGGCAGGAAAATCCAAAGGTACCAGTACAGATTAGGTGAAACCTGGCTCAAAAACAGCAACTCTGAAAGGGACCTGGGAGTCCTAGTGGATGATCACTTAAACATATAACAATAACAAAAAAGTTGGAAGGGACTTGGAGGTTATCTAGTCCTACCCCCTGCTCAGGCAGGAAACCCTATACCATTTCAGACAAATGGCTGTCCAATCTCTTCTTAAAAACTTCCAGTGTTGGAGCATTCACAGCTTCTGGAGGCAGATTGGTCCACTGATTAATTGTTCTAACGGTCAGGAGGTTTCTCCTTAGTTCTAGGTAGCTTCTCTCTTTGGTTAGTTTCCATCCATTGCTTCTTGTCCTGTCTTCAGGTGCTTTGGAGAATAGCTTGACTCCCTCTTCTTTGTGGCAGCCCCTGAGATATTGGAACACTGCTATCATGTCCCCCCTCGTCCTTCTCTTCATTAAACTAGACATACCTAATTCCAGCAACCGTTCCTTATATGTTTTAGCCTCCAGTCCCCATATCATCTTTGTTGCTCTTCTCTGTACTCTTTCTAGAGTCTCAACATCTTTTTTACATCGTGGTGACCAAAACTGGATGCAGTATTCCAAGTGTGGCCTTACCAAGGCATTGTAAAGTGGTATTAATACTTCACGTGATCTTGATTCTATCCCTCTGTTAATGCAGCCTAGCACTGTGTTGGCTTTTTTGGCAGCAGCAGCACACTGTTGGCATGAGTCAGCAGTGTGTGGCAGCAGTCAAAAAAGCTAATACAATCCTTGGTTGTATAAACAGAAGCATAGAATCAAAATCACGTAAAGTATTAGTACACTTTATAAAGCCTTAGTAAGGCCACACCTGGAATACTGCATCCAGTTTTCATCACCACATTACAAAAAAGATGTTGAGACTTTTGAAAAAGTACAAAGAAGAGCAACTAAGATGATTAAAGGCCTGGAGACTAAAACATATGAAGAACGGTTGCAGGATTTGAGTTTGCCTAGTCTAGAGAAAAGAACTAGGAGGGACATGATAGCAATATTCCAGTATTTGAGAGGCTGCCATAAAGAGGAGGGGGGCAGTTTATGTTCCAAAGCACCAAAGGGCAGGGCAAGAAACAGTGGATGGAAACTAATCAAGGAGAGAAGCAACCTGGAATTAAAGAGAAACTTTCTAACAGTGAGGACAATTAACCAGTGGAACAACTTGCCTTCAGAAGTTGTGGGTGCTTCTTCACTTGGTTTTTAAAGAAGAGACATGACCAGGAGTAGGCAATCTTGGCTCTTTTATGACTCGTGGACTTCAACTCCCAGAATTCCTGGGCCAGCCATGCTGGCTGAAGTCCACGAGTCATAAAAGAGCCAAGGTTGCCTACCCCTGGACTAGATAGTCACTTGTCTGAAATGGTATAGGGTCTCCTGCTTGAGCAGGGGGCTGAACTAGAAGATCTCCAAGATGAGGGGCACATGACATGGATTTTGTAATTTGTTAACTAACACAGTTGTTTTGGATTTTAATTTGATTTATTTTCTCTCTTTTAAAATGATGCTTAGGTTTACTAGCTTTTAACATTCCTAAACTGATAAACAGGCTGGAGTACAAATTGGGGTCTGGTTTATTTCTTTTGTGAACTCTAAACAACCTTTTTCCTTACAATTACGCCCCTTCTGACGTCAGACCTCATTTTAATGAACATGTGAGATATTGTGGGATACAAATATGTAACATGTTTGACTATATGTAACTGATTTCCTATGCAAAGGGGAGGTTACTTTTATCCTGTCCAATCAACTTTCCTCTTTCATTTTTCTTTGTTGTGCTAACTATAAAAACAAATGTAACATGGGGCTTGAGGTTCTCTCTCCTTTTCATAGAGAGACAACACTTTATCTGAGTACTCTAATAAACTGTTTTTAAATGATCTTCCAACTCGGTTGCTTAATGGGAAGATAAACTGAGGCAGAACCTAGGGCCAGATTTGGCTATCAAAGGTCCCTTCCAGCTCTATTCTGATTGATTGAACAGTTATAATTGTATAGTCAACAAGCACAGAGCAAATAGAAATATGAACACTAGTAGTAACTTTATTGGTATTAATTTTTACTAATTCTTTATTAAAAGCATCCTTATTTTTAAAATTATTTAAAATTGTAAAACGTAGCTTTCAGATATATACAGAATAAAGACTGAATAGTAGTGGCTTCAGGTTTTGCACAGTAATTCAGCAGCTGAGGGATTGCGGGGCTCCGCACCCTATGCCCGATTTCTGCCTGCTAGGGGACCCTAAATGGGCCTGAAGTTGCCCTTTGGAACTGAGTAAGAACAGTGATTTTCTCTCTTCTAGTTGAAAATTGATTTCCTGGAGGAAAAAAAAAGAAAAGCGCCAAGAAGCAAAAAGTCTCTGAAAGTGAGAAGCGGGGGAGAGATCTTTGCCCCACACTCCTTCAGATGGAGGCGGTGAATTAAACTTTTCAGGGGGGACAGAAATATACTGAAATGAAATGAATATAAGACTTAATTTGGTAAGTTTGAAATCGGTGGAATCTGTTAAGATTTTCCTTTTAAATCATGAAAATAAAAGTAAACAATTGTCTATTACTGACTGGTGCTGACATCTAGTGGTGGATGAAAATATACAACAGCAGTTGCTTTATTACAGGGACTGGCAAAACCCAGGAAAAGATCACTTGGTTTTGGTGACATTTAATGTCTTAATAACAGAGAACAGCTGTGACAAAAAAGAAAGAAAACATTTTGGGCTATTTACAAAGTGAGAATTATGAACTCTAAAAAAGAAGAATTGACCTTTCTGGATTACAAATACCAACTTAACTGTGACTCTAAAGCTGTCTGCAGAGAAAGGAAAATCCTGATATTTAGCTATCATGGAAAACCAGAGATCTGCAGAAAGAATATACCAAGAAAAAACAAATACTTTCCAGAAGGAGATCTATGCTATGTTGCAACTAATCCAAACAACAATGATCTCAAACCACGAGGAAATTAAAAATAGCTTTGAAAATATAAATGAACACATCGCCAATTTAACTTTACAACACAAAAATTCTCAGAAAATAAAAAGAGTGAGCATAAAAAACAGACAACTGAATACAAGACAGAGGAGAGAGATTTGAAGAAGGAACTTAAAATAGAAGAAAGTATGACTTAACCCAGATGGAAAAAATTTACAGGAAATACTGGACATGGAAAAGGTAACCTATACTCTAAGATTACAAAATAAGTTTGAGGACAAGAAAAAAGATTTGACAAAATGGATTCTGCCAGGAGAAGTACGAGAACTTGAGAGGTAAAAAATGATAAATAAAATCAAGAAAGAAAGAAAGAAAAAGATTTTCAATGAATACAAAGGGGTGAAACCTTCCTATAAAAACATCTTACCTGTTTTGCCTTTTGTACCTGCAATAACATTTTTAAGATTATGGAAAGATTCTTTATCTCAGTGAAGCATATTGATCAGGAAAGATGTTTGGCAAAAAAAAGGCTAAAGTGAAAATTAAGAAATTAGATGATGGGATTTATCAAAGGGAATATTTAACAATTAAACATCTGTTTGAATATGGTTAAAGAAATAGAAAGATTTTGGATATAAATGAAGATTAGTTTAAAAGGGATGAACCCCTTAAGTAACATAGTATTTTTTCTTTCTTTTTTCCTTTGTGTTTTGTTTTTTGACATGAGAAATATAAAAATGTTGGGATGGTTTATGTAATGTATTGGTCACAACTGTTTTGAATCAGTTGCTTAATGTCTAATCACTTGTTTGAATGTCTGACCTAGATTCTGTTGTTATGTAATGGCTGCTGTTACTTAAGCCAGACTTGCTGTCTCCAGGCTGGTAATTAGGTTTTGGGCAGGAAACTGTTACTTTAAACCTATTGTCTGCCGCCTGGAGGCTAACCATATAAGTAGCTGCACAGCAGCTATTTGAGCTGCTTCTGTTCAGAGTTAAATAAACTTGTTGCTGTTTCAACACTCGTCTCACTTAATGCCTTCAAGAACTGAATACTTAACAGTGGTGATGAGGGTGGGATGTGCTGCTTTATCATAAAAGTTTGAAGTCACTAGAGGGTGAGGCCAGCACAGAGCCTGGCAGGAATTACGTTCCCCCCACCTTGGTCTACCAAGCAAGACACACTGGAGATCACCACACCCTAAGGATCTGTCCTAGGGCCTA